TCCGGACGCGCAGGCTCAGCGGCCATGGCTCACGGGCCCAGCCGCTCTGCAGCATGTGGGATCTTACCGGACCGGGGCACGAACCTGTGTCCCGTGCATTGGCAGGTGGATTCTTAACCACTGTGCCACCAGGGAAGTCCCTATTGGCCATTTTTATTTCTTCATTTGTGAATTATCTCAGTACTTTGCTCATTTATCTATTATCCACAATACGACTAGTTATTTTATTACAAAAGTAACTAAAAAGTAATGAAGACATTGTAAAATAGATTAGAACATTTGAATATTTATAGTGTTTTATAACATGCTGTTTAAATAACTCAATCCAATACATTGAGAATATCTTTCTATGTCAACCAGTGTATATCTAAGCCATCATTTTTTTTTTACTTTTTTTTTTTTTTTCGGTTCGCGGGCCTCTCACTTTTGTGGCCTCTCCCGTTGCGGAGCACAGGCTCCGGACGCGCAGGCTCAGCGGCCATGGCTCACGGGCCCAGCCGCTCCGCGGCATGTGGGATCTTCCCGGACCGGGGCACGAACCCGCGTCCCCTGCATCGGCAGGTGGACTCTCAGCCGCTGCGCCACCAGGGAAGCCCTTATACGACATTTTTAATCAAAAATAAGTTTTTAAACTGCCGTGAAATTTCCGATGGTGATAGTCCTGTTAGTTTTCTATTTTCCTACTTTGTAATCATAAGGAAGGGCAAAAAGCTGAACTGGATCACCGAAGCCTGTTGGATCTCCCCGAAAATAAATCCTAAATCACCCCACTTCTCTCCACACAGTAGAATCAGTTCTTAATTTTTGATATAAATCACATCATATCATGTCCTTGCTTAAAATCCTAAAACAGTTTCCCATTGCCTTTGGAATCAAAACCAAACTCCTTCCTGTGTGACCTGGCTCCCGGCTCCTCCACTCTCTGCCCCCACCTGCCTACTTCCTCACTCCGTGCAGCCTCTAGGGTCTTTCTTTTCTCTGCTCCTGACCAAGGGTGGCCTGCCCCCGTCCCCCTTTGCACTTACTCTTCCTCTTTGGAAGACTCTGTCCCCAGACTCCCGTGGCTGGCTCCTTCTTGTCGTTAAGATGTTAAGATCTTCGCTCCAGTGTCACCTCTGAGAGGCCTTCGGGATCACCGATCTAACATACTACCTCCAGGCACCCTTCATCACATTCGCCCATTTCAGTCCGTTGCCTTTCTAATAATCTGAAATCGAAACTTTGTTTTGTTCACTTCTGTTGATGTACTGTCTCTGGTACACTTTCACTGCAGTTTATGCAGTAGGTGCTTTGCTGCTTGTCGGATGAAACAGTGTATTAAACAAGTACAAAACTCAGTGTCTTGGGCCTAGCAATGCCACATGTAGGAAGTTACTTCACAAATATGAAACAACATATTTATAAAATTACTCACTGTAATATAACTGGTAATAGAAAACTATTGGACACAACGCACATATCCATCAGCAGGGAACTGGTGAAATCAATTGTGGTTCATTCATACAATAGGCCTTTTTGTTTGTTTGTTTGCTTTGTTTCTTTTTTTCTAATTTAATTTTATTTATTTTTAACATCTTTATTGGAGTATAATTGCTTTACAATGGTGTGTTAGTTTCTGCTTTATAACAAAGTGAATCAGTTATACATATACATATGTTCCCATATCTCTTCCCTCTTGCCTCTCCCTCCCTCCCACCCTCCCTGTCCCACCCCTCTAGGTGGTCACAAAGCACCGGTCTGACCTCCCTGTGCCATGTGGCTGCTTCCCACTAGGTATCTATTTTACGTTTGGTAGTGTATATATGTCCACGCCACTCTCTCGCTTTGTCACAGCTTACCCTTCCCCCTCCCCATATCCTCAAGTCCGTTCCCTAGTAGGTCTGTGTCTTTATCCCCGTCTTACCCCTGGGTTCTTCATACAATAGTCCTAAGCAGCAGTAAAAAGAATGAAAATCTCTAATGAAAAATGAAATGATTTCCAGGATATATTGTTATATGAAAATATGTAAAAAGCAGGGTGCAAATGACAACTGCACACACGCTCACAGACACACATGCTTATTGGGGAAAAAAAATATAAGGAGGATGGAAAACCCTGAAACTAGTGAAAATTATCACCTATAGGGGGTTGAGATGGGTATGAGATTTCTTGTAATATATCCTTTTGTATAGTTTTGACTTTGAACCATGCAAATATTTTATATGTTCAAAAATACATTTGAGGGACTTCTCTGGTGGTCCAGTGGTTAAGACTCTGCGCTCCCAATGCAGGGAGCCGGGGTTCGATCCCTGGTCAGGGAACTAAGATCCTGCACACTGCAGCTGAGACCCAGCACAGCCAAATAAATAAATAAATAATTTAAAAAATATATATATATATTTGAAAGAGTGAAAAAAAAGCCAAAATTGAATATAAACAAAAGCAAATAAGCCTAACTGCATATCCAGTTGATAACAGAACCACACAGAGAAAATAAGTCAGGTACCTTCCAAATTCAGCCCTCTGACTGTGCTCCCTTCATGGGATATATTCTAAGGACAGAAAGACTCCGCTTTATTCCCAGTATGTATGTTGTTGGCAATGATAGTGTTGAGGTGATTGTGGAGCTAGCGTCTAAGGTAGACTGTATCTGGTACAGGACATGAGTAAATATATCCATACATGGATGTTGACAGGAACATCACTGTGGAATGAGGGAAAAGAACTGTACTGCCAGATTGGAATTGGGGACTGCAGTATGAACTCTTAAAAAATAGATTTCCTAGTTTTGTCCAGTGTAAGAGTCTAGAAGCAGTGAAACTCCAGTAGCAACGAACACACCCTGTACCCAGACCTTGGTTTCTCAATACCATTCTCCACTAAAAGGAACCAGAGGTCCTTGGAGAGGTGGAAGATTCTAGGTATGGGGCAGGAAAAAATACAAGATGAGCCTGGAGCACCTTGTGGTGCCAGAAAGTAAGGACATGCTTGAAAAGCAGAAGGATGAGGCATGTCAAAAGGACATGGGAGCCAACCAGAAAGAACCAAAGCTAGAATATCTGAGCATCCAAAAGGCTATTAAACCTTTTGGAGGAGGCACCAGGGAAGGTAGCATATATGTATTCACTTTAAAATTCCATTGAGCTGTACATTCACGATTTATGCACATTACTCTATGCATGCTATAGTCCAAAGAAAAACCAATGCAGGGACTTCCCTAGTGGCGCAGTGGTTAAGAATCCGCCTGCCAACGCAGGGGACACGGGTTTGAGCCCTGGTCCGGGAAGATCCCACATGCTGCGGAGCAACTAAGCCTGTGTGCCACAACTACTGGGGCCGCACATTGCAACTACTGAAGCCCGCGCGCCTAGAGCCTGTGCTCCGCAACAAGAGAAGCCACCGCGGTGAGAAGGCCGCGCACCGCAGTGAAGAGTAGCCACCTCTCGCCACAACTGGAGAAAGCCCGCGCGCAGCAACGAAGACCCAACGCAGCCAAAAATAAATAAATCAATAAATTTATTTATTTAAAAAACAAAGAAACGATGCGTCCACCATGACAATTGTGAAAAGGGAAAGCTCTTTATAGAGAAATGCCAACTAAAAATTGTAGAAAGAAGGAAAGCATGAGAAAACCACCATTTTGCAGCCACCAATGCAATTCATCCAGTTGGGGATCATCCTTGGATGGTAAAACCATTAGATAAAGCTTGCTGGGGAAAAGATAGTCACTGGGTCTCAAGGTGTCACCCAGATTACTTGTGCATTGGGGAGGGAAAATGCAACTTTACAAGGGAGTCACAGCCCAGAGCTGTGGCCTGAAGCTCAGAGACAGGGCTGGGATGAGCCACAGACACGGGTGCAAAACACAGAAATGGTGATGAAGGTGGACAGGCTCCCCAGGGAGTGACATGGAGAAGGGGTCCGGGGACAGAGTCTTGGGGCCCCCCGACAGTAAGAGATGGGGGTGTGGGGGGAGAACCAGCAAAGGAGCCAGAGGAGTGAGCCACCAAGTGGAAGGAAAAGCAGAGAGGGCGGCAGCAGAGGTGGCCAGGGGCAGGTCCCCAGGAACTAGGGGAGGCTGCTCTGGCTGGGCCCTGGAGGGGGACAGGGGCGACTGTCTCTCCTGCAGGCTTTTCAAGGCCCGGAGGGCTGAGGCCGCCACGGCTGTCACGTCTGCTGCTGGCAGGGCCTGGCACGGCTGAACAGCGCCTGTCCCACCTACTGGAGCTGGTGAGGCCCGGTCTCGTCCAGGCCTGTGGGGAAAGCCTGCAAGGCGCCAGCAAATTGTGGGCACGGCTGATCTGTCGCCTGGGTGCTTCCAACTCCATGAGCCCCACCCCCAAAGAAACGCTGCTTTCCTCTGAGTCTGCCCCTCCTCCTGTGTGCCCGTGGGAAATGGCACCACAGGCATCTCATTCCAGGTGCCACAGCCCATTTCTGTCTGCGAGGCCACTTCAGCTGGGCCCTTCACTCATCCTGCCGTCTCCTAGCGGCACTGTGGTCACCACAGGGCTGTGAGCTGCACCCCACGGCCCTGGGGATCAGCGACTGGCTCGAGGCCCCTCCGTGAGTAGCGGACAGCGGGTCTCGGGGCCCCACAGCGGCCAGGGGCCAGGGGGTAACAGGTGGGTCAGCACCCACCTCCAGGGCGGACACTTGGCCCAAGGGGTACAGTGCCCACGATAGACATTCCGGCCCCTGTGGAAGGATCTCAGCATTTGGAGCCTGCGGTGTACATGGGGCCACCCCGAGAATCTAAGGGCAAAGGCGGGATGCAGCCTGCGGCCATTCTGTCTTCACGTGCGGTCGCCCGTCTCCTCTCACGATGGCATGGGCCTTCCCACCCGGGCCTCCCATCTCTCATGCCGGCAGCATCTCCTCCCTCTCCATGTTCCCGCCCCGGCCCTGCCCCTCCACAGCTACACCCTGCTGCGCAGACAAGCTTCCGGAAGCAGGGGTCCGCAGTCACCGTCACGGCCCCTTCCCCACGGCGCTGCCGACGACCTTCTTGCTACCGAGGCGAGAGGAGGCTCTGCCATGCCCTCCCTGTGCTTCTCGGCACCACTAGACAACTCCCCCCCACCGCGTCTTCCTGGAGGGGCGTTCTCGGCCTCTGACACCGAGCTCTCCTTGCGGCCTCCACAGCGTCTCTCCAGTTGGTGAAGTCCCTCATGGCCCAGTCCTCTCCCCTCTTTTTACGCCACGCTCCCAGGGAAGCCGTCTCATCCGTCCTTACGGCATCTAGGACATCGTGTCCACAGGCCGCTCCCGAACGTCATGGAAGGCTGCACGGGGCTGTGGAATCAGACCGGGTCCAGATCCCAGTCAGTTCTGTCAGCGAGGCGCCTACCATACACCGTGAAGACGCCACTCCTGTCTCCCTGTCCAGCCTGATCTACCCGCCGCCGACTTCCTGACCCCCCTGTCCAACTGCCCAGCAGATGGCTTTGTCACCCCCAAGCCGGGAGGCACTGGCACAAGGGACTCAACAACCGCCTCTAGGGTCTGTCTGCAGCATGCGTCTGCGTGTGTCACTCCCCTGCACTGCACCGGTCAGCCCTCCCCGAGGACCTGGCTTTCGCTGAGAATCTCCCTCTCCCGCCCAAGCCCACCCCACCCCCTGCCAAAATGATGGAGGCACCACCCGGTTCTGACCAACGAAAGGACAGCGTTTATTTGCTGGGGGCATCTGAGAAAGAAGCTACGCTACAGGTCGGGAAGGTGCTCCTTGCTGGCTGTGATCGAGGGATTTGGTGGAAGCTGCAGGCAACCATCTTCTGATCCTGAGGCAGAGGCCTGGGATGAAGCAGACGCTGCAGAGTGCAGAGGGGAGGTAGGAAGAAACTGGGTATTGGTGAAACTGTTTATCTGCTGCCAATACCCCTGGACTTCTCAGTTTCGTAAACCAATACATTTCTTTTATTGCTTAAACCAACTTCCTCTACGGTTAAATCAATTACTGGAAACCAAAAGCCGCCCAGCTAATACAGTTCCTTTCAGATCAAAGTCTCACATTCACCTCTAGTGCGACTGGAAGTGTCAGTATAAACCTTCCTTACGGAAGCGAAATGAGAGTGCAGGCAAGTCTGTCACACGGGCCCTGCTGCGGGGCGGGGCCAGGGCCTTCCATCTGTTCTTCAAAGCCTTTGCCCGTCAGGCCTCTGCCCGTCCTCCCAGCCCGGGGACCCGGCGCTTACCCCACGAGGCCCAGGCAGGAGGGCGGCCCAGGCGCCCTCCTCCAAGGAGCAGGTGCCTCGATGATCTCTAGGGCCCACCCGCCAGCGGCTTCTGCCCCTCCCTGGCCCCCCAGGGTTCCTTGTCAGGCACTGAGTGGTGTGCGCAGTGAAAGTCCCTGTACACACGCGGCAGGGGAAGGGTCTACTTTCAGGCTGTGGGTGAGCGCAGGGTGCAGGGGCCTGGCTGAGTAACCTCGAGCCCATCACCTGTCATCTCTAAGGGTCGAGGACCGCCCGTGTCCAGGAGGAGACAAGCAGAGGGGGTGCCCAGAGAAAAGCTGTGACACTAAGGGCCAGGGCACCCCATCTCTGGGCCACGCTTGGCCATCACTCAGCTTTTGGCCTCACTTTGTATCTGGGACACAAGGGGGAGGATGGCTGCAGACTCCCGACCCCGGGGGGGTTGGGGGTAAAGGAAACTGACTGAGGTCTAAGGAGTGGCCCTCACTGTGCAGAGTCAATGGCTGGGGACCAACATGGCACAGGGACTTGCCTAAGGTAACACTCCAGAGCTGGGTGACGTCCCAGACCCCCCAACACGCTTTCCCTTCATCGGGTGCACGCTGGTGGCAGCAGCTTGAGGGGGCCCAAGGCTGGCTGTCACTTGACCTGCCAGTGTCAGACCTGCCAGAGGCGAGGTGACAGGACTGGGCAGCAGGGGCCAGCTGGAAAGGTATTGCTCGAGGGTTTATGCCAAAGCCCACTCCTCAGAACCCTCCTAAACAACCCTCTCACCCTGAGGCACTTCTAGAAGCTGGCTGGACTCAGATTGTGGCTCTCCCACTTCAGCACTAGCGCCAAACGTGGGAGCAAACCCAGGTCAAGAGCCGGATACAGGTACCCGCGTACCCGCCAGCTAGTATTATGAGCCGAATTGCAACATGAGAACACATTTAATGCTACATGCAGCTTGTGGCCTGGCCCGGCTCCTCCCCACACTCCGAGAATCCTACTTGGAGAACCCCTTCTCCATAGCTTCAGTCACTTCAGGGTGCAGGAAGCGGCCAGCCAAGCGTTCGATGTCATCCAGCGTCAGGCGGCTCAGGGACCTCTCATAATCCTGAGGAGAGAAGGCCAGGAGGATTCAGCGGCGTGGGTCGGGGGGACACTGGGATAGGGGCAGGGGCTGCGAGCGGCTGGGTGGGACGTGGAAGTCCCGGGCGACCCTGCTCACCCTCTGGAGTTGGTCCAGGACTCTGCTGGCATCTGCGGCGCTGAAGTGACGGGCCAGGACTTTGGAGATTAGAGGCCAGGTGGCCGGGGGTGGGGGCGGGGCCTCGGCCACTGTCCGCGCGCTGCTTTCGTCCAGTAACACCTTCTCCAGAGGTTTGACCACTAGGTTGAGCTTGGAATTGGGCCCAATGCTGTAATCGGAGAGTCTTTTCCCATCTGCCCGAGAGAGATTGATGGAGCTGTGGCCCACGGTGGTGGGAAAGGCCTCGGGGAGGCCAGGCGGAGCGCCGCGGCATCCGGCTGAGGATGCAGCCTCCCCGGGGGTCAAGTGGCCAGAGCTCCCTCCACTCCACTGCTGCCCGGGATCGGCCCGGACGCCCCGTCCCCTGACTTCCCGCGGGGCTCCCCGGGCGTCTCCTCTCCCCGGTTACCTGCCAGGGCCTTGCCCTTGAACAGCAGCCGCTGCTGGCGGACGGGGACGTTCAGCCTCTCGGAGACCAGATGTTTCAGCGTGGACACCAGCTCGTCCTCCGACACCTGGCCGGGCCGAGGGTGAGAGGCAGGCGGTGAGGCCGCAGCCCCCGCGGAGGGCGGCTCTCCTGGCTTCCCCTGAGCGGCCAGCCCGCCCGGTTCGTCCCCGCCCTCGGCCCGGCCCTGCGCCCAGGGGCCAACCGCGTGAGCCGGCACGGCGGCGGGGACCGGCGGCGCTACCTGCAGGTTGCACTCGCGGCCCTGGAGCGCCTTCACTGTTAGCTGCATGGCGGCCGCAGCGGCGTCCACTCCGGCCGGCGCGAAGCCCTACAGCCCCCCGCCGCGCGCCGCCGCCCCGGGCGCGCGCCAGAACCAGCTGCCGCTGCCGGAAGTCGCGCGAGGGGCGCGCCCGGCGTCGCGGCCCCGCCCCCCGTGTCGCGTTCCCCAGCACCCCCGCAACCCCCCCCCGCACCCCGGAGCACGGGGACCGGCCCGGATCCGGGCCCCGCGGCGACTGAGCCGGGAAGCCCGCGGGGATGAGAAGGGGCAGAGGAACTAGTCGGGCCCGGTCGGCGGAGTCGGGGAGCTGGGAGTCGGGGAGCTGGGACTCGGGGGAGAAGGCGGGCCAGGGGTTCGCTCGCCCCCGCTCACTGCCCGAGGGCGGAACAGGTCGGCGCCGAGGCCGATTCCCTGCCTCTCAGGAGTCCGCTGATGACCCGGCCCTGCAGAGCTCGCCCCGCGGCCCTCCTGCTGCCTCCTTTCTAGTCGGCCTATGGAAAATCAGCTGAGCTTGGGAGCGGGCGGGGGAGCCAGTCCTCCGCTCTCATCTTCCCACCGCTCCTTCTGGAACAGAGAGACCCAGCTCTCAGAGGGGATGCATGGGGAAGGAGGGCTGAGAGAGAAAGTCTGGGCAGAGGTCACCGTGTCACCCAAGCCAGCCCTCCACCCTGGCCCACACTTACCCAGCCACACCCTCCGCCCCCCCCCCCACCGGCCCGCAGGCCTCAGAGGGCAAAGACTGGAAGGGACCCAAGCTTGCTTCTCTCTTTTATTGAAATATATTTTCTAGGCAGTGCCCACCTACTGAACTCAGCATGGCCTCTTTGGCACTGAAAGCTGGAGAATAAAAAACGAGTAAAAAAAATAAGCCTGGATTTTTCTGAGTGCATAGAGTGCATGAGAACTAAAGGCCTTTGGTACACAGAACTGTGGGGGCCGTGGGTGGAGGCTGGGGGCTAGGGGTGGCGAAAGCTTGACCCGGGGGGCCTCAGGGAACTGCACACACACTGCTATAGATGAAGTGGCCAGTAACTAAGGCCAGCATCTCTGAGGTGCCACTCAGTGCCACAAGGAAGGGGGCCTGGGAGGCATAGTCAGCCTGAAGGCGGCGGAGGGACAGCTGCAGCATGGCCAAGGCCAGCAGGCTGTTCTGCACCCCGACCTCGATGCTGACAGTCCGACGCTGGGCCACTGGCAGCTTCAGGCACGTGGCCAGGCAGTAACCCACCAGGAGGCCGACCGGGGGCACTGTGAGGCCCACCAGCACAATGGGCAGCCTGACGCCCGCCAGGATGAAGACCCCCATGTGGCAGGCCAGGAAGAGGCCGCCCAGGAGCAGCACGAAGCTGAAGGGCTTGATGACCTGCAGCAGCAGCTGCGAGAACCTGGGGAGCTTCGACCTGATCAGCACGCCCGCTGCTATGGGGATGGCGATGAACAGCAGGGTCCCCAGGATCTTGGAAATGGGCACGTGGAGTGTTTCGTGGCTGCTGAGCAGGCGGCTGTAGATGGCCGAGGACAGCGGCAGGAAGCCGGTGGCAGCCACTGTTGAGATGAAGGTCATGGAGATGGCCAGGGTGACATCGCCCCCGAGGAGGAGGCTGAAGAGGTAGCTGCCCCCGCCGCCGGGCGACGAGCAAGTGATGATGAGGCCCAGAGCCAGGGCCTTGGGCAGCATGAAGACCTTAGCCATCAGAAAAGCACAGAAGGGCATAACCAGAAACTGGCCCAGGAGGCCCAGCAGCATGGGCCGGGGGCTCTGCAGGAGCCCCTTCAGAACTTCGAGCTCTACTTTGCACCCAAATGAACACTTGTTGACAAAGATAAGAGGCAGGAGCAGGTAGAGTACTGGGTTCTCTGAGAAGTGGGCCAAGTCAGTGCCAAGGGCGGCAGGGTCTTCAGCACGTGAGACCTTGATGCAGAAATCTCTCCGCTCCTCAACCAGCGTGGGTGGGGCCTCACAGGGGTCCAGGAGCTGGAGGTGGAGTGGTGCTAGCCCAGGCAGGCCCGAGTGGATGCTCACCACGAAGCCGCCCCCACCAGCCCAGGCTATGGCACTCACGTTCTTGATGGTCAGCAGCTCTGTGTCCAGGGAGGTGACCCTCAGCACGGGGCTGGGCCCCGTCCCGTTGCCCTGGCCCGGGTACTGGCTTGAGACCACGATGATGCCCTCGCTCTCCTCTGGGAACTCAAACTCCGTCACGGAGCCATCCCCAATGCTCAGGTAGCGGCGCCCTGTCAGGGGCACGGTATGGCCCACAGCCGCGCTGAGACTGGCGCTGGCTGTGCCCCGCGCCCTCCAGAGCAGGCTGAGAAGCAGCAGGCTGGCCCTGAGCATGCCTCGGGGGCCCGTGCAGACACTGCCACCCCCGAGGCCCAGCCACCTTCTAAACACCATGGCTCCTCCCAAAAGGTGGGGAGAGCAGCTCTGCGGGTGCCGTCGGGTTGTCCTGAGAAGGGTCCATGGGCAAGGCCTGGCCCTGTGCTGCCCTCCTCGATGGCAGAGCTCTTCCTGAGGAGAGAAGGGACACAGAGAGGTAGGTGGCTGGTGAAGGTGAGCAGCTGTGAGCCCAGGAACGCAGGATCTGGAAGCCCACTGTTCGGAGACTTGGCAGCGCCCCTTGCCACAAGCCTGGGGATGGAAACGGAAGGCCTAGTGTTGGCCCTTGAGTGCCATTCGGCTGCCCCCATCCCAGTCACAACTGCCTCAAGCTTCCCATCCCTCACCCAGAGGGGCCACCTACAGGTCGGAGTTCGCCTTCAGCCCGCTGATACGCGCTGATTTCCCTGGGTTTGCCCACCACAGTGACCATCTGGAGATGTCCCGATACCAGAGGATCTGGGAGAGCCACCCTCAGTCCTGTCACCACTAGCCTGTGCCCCACCTGCTTTGAGACGCAGCTGCAGCAGTACCACCACTGGGACGAAATCTCGGAAGGACTGCCCAGGGATGCCAAGGAAGCCAGCCCGCTGAGAGCAGGTTAGGGCATTTGAGTGTCATCTGCCAGGCAGAGAGCAGCCGGCAAAGGGTGGGGCAGTGGGTGGCCACCAGGCCAAAGGCCCCAGGGGCTGATGTTCACCATTGGCACGTGAACGGCGTTGCTGTGCATGGCCACCTGGCCTACCCTTCCTGCTGACAGGGGTGCGATGGGGGTTCTGGGAGGGCACAGGTCCCCTCTCCCCAGGGGAGCTGCCGGAAGGGGCAGCAGGAAGGGATCAGATAGGGCCACGTGTCCACCGGGGGTTCTCCTCCTTCTGTCAGAGCTCCCACTCCCCTGGCGGTCCCAGAATTTGAGCTCCTAGAGCCACTGTGCCAAAGTCTAGGGACTCCTCCCCTGCCCACACATGGCCCTAGCAGAGCCTGGAAGTACCAGTGACAGGAGGAGTGTTTCTAGGAGGGCAGGGCGCCTCAGGGGGAAAGGAGTACGTTTGTCTCCTTCCACTTCTCAGTTTGGGCAGCCAGCAGCCGATTGCCACATCACCTGCAGGAACTGGAGCAACCGGGATGAGGGCACAGTGATTTTGCATCATTACTGTTGACTGAGTCACATCCTACGCTGTCCCAGTCTTGGAAGAGGCCCCGGCTTCTCTAGATCCTATCAGGGCTGGGTCCTGCCCCCTCCCCCCCTCACCGATGCCGGGGGAGCAGGGGAAGTAGGTGGTGAAGTTCCGCTGTGCCACCCTGGGATGCCATGGCCTCTCCTGGCTTGGGGTTTGCGTCACTTACCCTGGAGGCCCTGATCCAGCCTTGAGTCCCACCACTGAAGAGGGAGGCAGGAAAACCAGAGGGAGTCACAGGGAAAGGATGAAGGTACCCGGTACTGAAGGCGCCCGGTACTGAAGGCACCGGGTGCTGTGAGCCAGCTCAGAGGGAGAGGAGGCGAAGGGCTATCCACCCCGTCCTTCCAGTACCGCTGGCGGCTTTGAGTCACTGCGTGAGGGGTCTGGCCCGGATCCCCACTATTTCTGCTTGAGGTACCGTTAGAGTTTGGGCAGATGCGCCCCTAGGCAGGCGAGGGAACCCCGGGCCGGTGGCTTTTTCCACACGGGCGAAGCGCTCGGTGTCGGGGCAGTTGGCAGTGCTGACCCGGGTCTCCTCCCTACCTGGGAGTCCAGAAGTTGTCGGATGGGGCACAATCAGAGCTCGGGCAGGAATCAGGGAGGGAGGGGAGGAGGAGCGCGCCGCCGCCGGGTTCGCGCTGCAGCCCCGCAGCCTGCAGGCCGGCGACCCGCCCGGGCAGTCCCGGGGTCTCTCACGCCACTCCCGGTCCCCACGGCCGCGCCAGGCCTCACGAACGCGCGGTGGTGGCCCTTCCCCGGCCGGGGCCAGAAGCCGCCTTCCAACCGCCCTTCCCAGACCGAGGCTCTCACCTGCCTCCGCGGCCCCGAAGCTCGGCGCCGGTGCCAGCCCCTGCCGGGCGGGCGGACGCCTGCGAGCTCGGCCCGCCGGGGCCCCGCCCCGAGCCGACGAGGCCCCCCCCGCCTACCCCGCGGCGGCCTCCTCACCTCTGGCGGCCGGGGCGGGTCCCGACCGGATGTGGCGTGTCTGGGAGCGACGAGGTGGCGCGCGCGCGCCGGCTTGTCAGCCTTCCGGGTGGCGGTTGGTCGGCCCTGGGTGCGGACTCGTGTGGCCACCGAGCCGCGGGTCCCAGCCTTCTGCGGTCGCCGCCGGGGCGACTCGCTCCGCGTAGGCACCCCAGTCATTCCCAAACACGCTGTGACCTCTGGGGGCACTGGGACACAGGCTTAGACGTTAGCTGAGCTAGGACGCCCGAGGGCTGCTGCTGGTGGCGGGAGACTGGGGTCAGGGTTTCGCCCACAGTCCTGCTCAGGGCGCCCAGTCCTGTAGCCCGAGAGCCGGGTCCGACCGACCCAGACTCCGGGGCCCAGGCTCGGCCTTGTTCCACCTTCCTTCGTTCAAACGTCGACCGAGCGCCTGTTTCCACACTGTGTAATATCAGTGAACTTTTCAACCTCTCAAAACTATTTGGGGCCACCAGCAAGGTCCGGAGGCTTCACGGAAAAGGAACGCACACACATGGCATAAGGAAGGGCAAAAAGGTGGTGAGGACGTAGAATGTGGACATGGGAAGACAGTAAGCAAGCAAATGTAGAATCACGGGGATTTGCATGTTCCCAGAGGCTGCTGGGCAACTGCGGTCAGGCAGCGGGATGAGGGCTACCCACTGCTCTGGAAGACCTCTTGTCAGGGCTGTGATGGAGGCCAGTGGTGCCCAGACTTGCAGGTTCTTGCCCCCAGGAGGTTCATAAGACACCTCGTAGAGAATGTCCAAAAAGACCCGTAGCATCTCTTCTATTTAATTTTTCCAATAAATAATTGTAATCATTTAAATAAAAACCTATTTTCATTTAGCCTTATTTAAATATTTTACTTGTTTAAAAATTCTAGTTGTGTATGTGTGCTATAAAGTTCAGATTAGTACATGCGTGTGACATGTAAGCAGACACAAACATGGTGAGGGTACACACTCTGGGTTTGATTTATGTCAATGATCCAGAAACATTCAGAGGCCATAGCTCTAGGCTGTTCTTTAGCCTCAGTTCATAAGCCATTTGTGTGTGTGGACTTGGTGTCCCAGAAAGTCTGTACTGTCCCTCTCAAATGGGTTGAGCTGTCCTGATGGAAGCAGCCTGGCACAGGTGAGAGGGCTGAACTTGGCACATGCTGTGTTGAAGACTGCAGTTTGCAAAAGAGCAGTGGTGCTGTCGCTGCCTGAGGATGGGGTAAAACTGGCCAGAGGGAGAAGGGGGATGGGTCAGCTGGAAGAACTGGGGATGGAAAACCTAAAAGATGTGTTAGCTCTTGAGGAAACCTGTGTTTTTATATTCCAGCTGCACGGGAATTGGTGCCAGGGGTCAAGGAGAGCAAATGTAGTTAGAAGGCTGCTCCCCGCTCTACCATCAGTCCTTTCAGTCTTCCCTGAAAAGCCAGAGCGGGCTGGTGGGCTGTCCGACAGGAGGGAGTTTAGAGGCCTTCCCTGCAGGAAAAAAGGCGTGGCTAAATTAAAGACAAGAGAATGTTTGTAGTTAGTTTAGGGGATTAATAATTTACCCCAGAGGAGAAGGAAGGTCTCTACGAATCAGTCAAGGATATCTAGTTCCAAAAGAGAAGTCAGCTGGACCGACAGAATAGATGGCACAAACTATAGTGACAGCTGAAACAACATCCGTGCACTTCAGATGGGAGACCTGCCACAGTCCTGCTAACAGGGCCACAGTGATGACCCTGAAAAGTGTGCCTACCTCCTGCTCTCCAGGCAGGGGTCTCCAAGTAGACCGTGTGATAAATCAGCACGCATGGAAGGCGTACTCTATACAAGCACAAGTATGGGATGCATTTGGTATTTACCGGGAAATGTAGTGACAACTGGCGTTTTTGCATGCCCAGCAACAGGTCACGGCCCCCGAGTTTTCTTTGGGGGGGCCATCCCTCCTCCATTCTCGGTACACAAGGTTTGCATGAGGATGACCCCAACACTGGCCTCTAGGGTGGGCACAGGCCCAGAGGTAGCCAATCAGAGCCACACAGATTGAGACAAGGATAAACCCATAATCCAATCTGGACCTATGAGAGGTAGTGCCCGGGGACTTGGGCTGGAACGACTGGGAAGGTGGGAGCTCTTTTCTTGCTGGGGTTGCTAACCTGGGACATCTACTGTCACTCCCCCTGCCTGGGGAAGACAGCATGTTTGAAAAGGATGCAAACACAAAGAAAAGCAGAGCCAAGAGATGGAGAGCCTGTATCCCAACGACGTTACTGGAGCTGGAATCACCCATGGGCGTTGGGGTCTGTTACAGGAACATTAAGCCTCCCTCCCCTGTCATTATGTATTTATTTTTGCATATGCCAGTTGGGTTGGGACCCTGTCACTTGTAACTGACGATGTCTTAACTCCTGAGGGTAGGCCTGGGGGACAAAACCCTGGCGGAAGAGGACCGCAGGATGTAAAGATGTACCTCCGCTTTGGAAGGTCGGGCGGGCTGCACTGCACACCACTGTCAGCATCCTACCTGTGTTGGGCCACATGGGGGATAAAGCTGGCCTGCCGTTTCCATCTGTGTGGCTCTGGCGCACGCAGTGAAGGTCTGGGGCAGGTCAGCTGGCTCAGCAGTTGTATAATACAGAGGCACCTCCCAGCCTTGCGGTGCGGCCCTTCGCTGAGATGCGTTTCATTTGGGGCAAGCGACTAACCTTGTGGGGCCCTATTCATCTGGCTTCTAACCTCCCAGCTTCAGGGAAACTTTCCTGAGCACACCAGGGACCATTTATCTTCCGTAAACGGGGCTCACCAGCAACCAGCAGCATTGCTCGCTAGGGTGTGCAGATGAAACACTGTCCACACGATGATCACTTTGGCAGCCCCACTGGGTACATGTAGATTCATCAGACTAGTCTCTCTACTTTGGAGGATGTTGAAAATGTCCATAATAGAAGGTTTGAAAAATGAATACATGTATGATACTCTAGTGGTAAGTACTCGTCATTATAAACACTGTCAAACGCACAGACTGTACGACACCAAGAGGGAACCCTGATGTCCACCCTGGGCTTTGGGTGGTGATGACGTGTCAGTGGAGGCTGGGTATGTGGGAACTCTGGACTTTCTGCTCAACTTTGCTGGGAACCTAAAACTGCTCTAAAACAGGAAGTCTGTTTAAAAATGAAGACACATAAAGCTCTCGGCACAGGGTCAGGCTGCGTTTCAGCTTCTGTGAACACTGTCTCCCAGGTAAGTGACCCGGGCCGTCCTCACGTCTCCACTTCCTGGTCCTTTGCAGTCGTGGCTATGGCCTCACAACCACAGCTTCTCATCCTGGGCCGTCCCTCGCCTCTCTCTCCTCTTCTGCCACCTCCTTAAATACTTTCATTTCCTGATGCCGTGTTCACACTCTCCCAGCACCTAACCCCTAGAGGGGGGACTCGCAGGTCCACTGCCCCGGCCACGGCCCCCTTGACCCTACCTGGCTGGCGCCCCGATTCCTCCATCTGGGAAGTCCCAACCGCCTTCTCTCCTTTTTGTGACCCCAGACCATTTCTGCACCCTCATGTACTTCTCCAGAAAACTCCTTATAGTTTCTTGCTGGTTCTCACCCCTTGCAGGGAAATATAACTGCAATCTGTGAGAAATGCCAAATAGTCCACGTGACTCGGCCTCTTGCTGGCCTGATTTCAAAGGCATCTAACGCTGAGCACTGCGGGGGAGACACACTAGCTCTCGCGGGAGGCTGCAGGGAAAGGGGAAGCTCCTGGGTTGGTTTTAATCCCCATCCCTGTCCCTATAGGCCTGTGCCGTGACTAAGGGCAAGGCTACAGGGATGCCCACAGGGGAGCCCCTCTGCTCACCACCTGAATCACATCTCAAGGACAACACCACCCGACTCCCCTCTGAATGCATCTCATTCCTTCGGGGGCCACCAGTTTATTAAGACGTCATTTAGAAAGCGGGCCCTCTGACAGACAAACCGCAGGAGCTGCCACCCGCCGCGCTGGGAACCGCCATCGGGCCGGCGACCTCACTGCCCGGCCAGCCTGGCTCCCAGGCGGGCACCCCTTCCCGCGAGAGCAAGGCAGGAGGCAGCCAGGCGCCGGGAGTGGCCACCGCGTTCGGCTCAGCAGAACGAATCACACTGGAAACAGGACTGGCCTGCAGAGCAGCGAGCCACTCTGGGACGGAGAGGCTCCGGAAGATGCCCCGACCTGCCAGGCAGCTGCTATCAGACTGGGGGCCGCAGGCGCTTGGGACTTGGGTGGGTGTCGGCCAGCAGAGTGCTTTAGGAAAAGGAGACGGGTACCTGGGGTCCCCGGACAAAGCGCCATGGGGCCGCAGCGCAGCCCCACCACCGGGCACGGTCTGGTCACCGGTCACCGCCTCGGAGCCCTGCCGTGCTGGGGCAGGAGTGCCCCTGGCTGGGCGTGGGGTCGGGCCTCAGCGCTGAGCCGGCGCCCCCTCCTGGCTGGGTACACACAGCCTCGCTTAGTCTGGTCGTCGAGCTCGGCCGCTAGCTGGCTGTGGTCCTCCTGGGGATGCAGCCCTCCATCTCCAGCGCCTCGGGCCAGCCTTCGTACTTATTGCTGTGCTTACTGTTCTTCACGTGCTGCGGGTCGGTGGGGGCAGGAAGGCACGGGCTCAGCCCTCGGGCACCAGGGCCAGACAGAACTCTCTGTCCCCCTGTGCCAGGGTCAACCAAGCGTGCAGCCTCGGGCACCCGCCACCTGTCTGTCCCAGCGCCTCAGCGTTCTCATCTAAAGATGGCAGCAGCTGCCCTGGCCTGCCCCCTCGCAGGTGGAGGGGGGGATCACCTTCTTTGAACTTAGGTGGGCCTGGCACACGCTAGGAAGGGAAGGAGGGGGAGTGTGTCCCTGCCCTCACCCAGCCCTCAGGGAGCCGCTGGAAGCTCCGGGAAGAGCGAGGCCAGAGAGGGTGTTTCTTCTCTGGGGACTGAGCTGCTCTTTCGGCAGCCGGAGCCTTCCAGAAACTGGCGGAACAGCCTGTTTGCCTTGTTCTGCTGTGGGGAGCAGGGTGTGCAGTGTGAACTGGGGTGCTGGGTTTTGGGGGGATGGGACAGGACTGAGCAGCCTGGCATGCAGGATCTTAGTTCCCCGACCAGGGATTGAACCCGTGCCCCTTGCAGTGGAAGCGCAGAGTCCCAAACACTGGACCGCCGGAGAAGTCCCAGGAGCATCTTAAAGACGTGTGGCCTGCTGTGTGTGTGGGTGCTGGGCGTGAACAGAGGCGACCTCAGAGGATGCAGGCAGGAGGGGAGGGCAGACTGGCCTGCGCCAGGCAGTGGGGGTCCCAGAGCCTGCGCCCATACCTGCTCAAAGGGGCTCTTGTTCTGCACACCCTTGGCCCCTACAAACACCCAGCTGTCCCGGAAGGCCAGGTCCTTGACATTCTTGCTGCCCAGATCGCTGAAAAGCTTCCTGGTCTCTTCATTCATCCTGCCCCACAGAAGGAAGAGATATGAGCCATGACCACGGAAGGGTGAGGCCTCGGCCAGCCTCGGCCATTACTTACTTGGTGGCTGGGTCATCATAGGAAGCCACAAACACCAGGGTGCCTTCATGCAGCGGCCGGATAAACTTCAGTAGATCATTGACATCTAGGGGGACAGTTCCCATGGAGCATCAGGCACCACTGAGCACCCCTCCCTCACCAACCCCTGTTCTCCAGATGAGGAACCTAAAGTAGTGATCAGGCCAGGGACACACCCCGGCCAGGGCTGCTGAGTGAGTGCAGGGACCAAATGGTATAAGATGCCAGGGCTGAAGCCCTGACCATACACCTGTCCTTCTCCCTGGCTTTTCTGAACCCAAGGAAGTGCTCAAGACTCCCCAGCGAGCAGACAGAAGGAGCAGCTTTCAGGGGGAAGATGCCGTCATTCCGCCCACAGTCAGAAGGCGGAGGCCGCGGCCTGACTCACCTCCCGCCCACATGTCGAAGGCGCGGGCCTCGATGAGCTCTCCGCTTACCCCTGGTCAGAGGGAAGGATGGGTGCTGCTGGAAGCTTTTCACCTCCCCCCATCTTCACGCCCACCGTGCCCCTCGTTCAGACTGCTGGGACCCACCCGAGGCTGTGGAGCTTCTGCTCAGTATTGGGGGCCCTCCAGGGGCTCCCCATGAAGCAGCCTCCCACTTCCTGGAAACTTCCAGTTCTTCACTGCTGCCACGCTCTCGTCCATCGGGTCACCTCTTCTGTGGAGCCTTCAGCTCGCACAGACCCTTTCCCAGGCCCCCCTGCGAATCCCTGGTGGCGGGGTGGAAGGAGGGCGGCAGGTCACGGCTCAGCTTTGCCTCTCTGCTCCGTGGGCAACTCACCGTTCACCAGGGCGATGTTCAGTCCCCGGCCCACGTTGTCCTTGACACTGCTCATGAGCCTAGCAGGGGGACAGAGCCTTCCAGTGGCACGTCTACCCTGCTCGACCCCGGTCCTCGCAGACCCAGCTCCCCTCCCCGCCCCCACCCGCCTGAGGGGCTCACATCCTGTCCTCCAGGCAGATCTTGGGTCCAATGACGTTGGCAGCCCCGCTGACCACGCGGAAGGCCAGGTGCTCCTCGGGACACGGCTGAGGCAGGCCGCATTTGTACTTCCTGGCCCTTGGCTCTGGGTAGGGACAACAGGGGTGACCCATGGGCCTGGCCCTGGGGGCACCCGAGATCTGAGAGGGGGAGGTCAGGACCAGCCCATAGGGAGGAATGAGTGACCACAGACCAAGGGACTGGCGTGGGGTGGGGACGTGGCTCAGGCCAAGGAAGGGACACTTCCACGGACACTCTGTATCCCACTGGGGCTGGCCTCAGGGCAAAGTGACAGGGACCCCAGGGAGGCTCTTCGGCCACTGGTGGGAGAAGAGAAAGGAGGCAGGAGGGCTGGCCTGGGCTGTGGCCCCACCGGGAACAGAGGACAGGAGGGAAGGAAAGCTACTGGGAGGGCAGGTGCAAGGACCCCATGGAGAGGGCACAAGGAGGTTGGTCTCTATTACGAGGTGACCTGTGTCCCCACAAAAGATGTTCTCAAGTCCCAACTCCCAGGACCTCAGAACGTGATCCTCTGTGGAAATAAGGTCATTGAAGTTATAATTCATTAAGATGAGGTCATCCTGGAATAGGGTGGGACCTAAATCTAATGACACATGTTCTTATAAAAGACAGAAGAGAAGACCCACACACATGGAGGAGAAGTCCTTGTGAAGATGGAGGCGGAGATGGGAGGGAGGCGGCCACAAGTCCAGGGACACCTGAGGCCACCAGAAGCTGGCAGAGGTGAGTAAGGGTCCTCCCTGGAGCCTCTGGAGGGAGTGTAGCCTTCCAACACCTAGATTTCAGACTTCTACCTTCCGGAACTGTGAGAGAATACACTTCTGTTGTTTAAGCCACCTGGTTTGTGCTATTTTGTTACGGCAGCCCCAGGAAACTGATACAGATTCTGATACCAAGAAGTGGGGTGCTGCCATGATAAATCCCTAAAAATGTGGAAATGGCTTTGCAATTGGGTAATGGGTAGAGGCTGCAGAATTTTGAGGTGCATATTAGGAAAGGCCTAGATTGCCTTGAAGAGACTGTTGGTAGAAATATGGACATTATAGGTGATTCTGGTGAGGGCTCAGAAAGAAGAGAGAAGAGCAGTAGAGAGAGCTTCTATGGTCTGAGATAAGGCACATATCATCGCGACCAGACTGTCGATAGAAATGTGAATGCTAACAGTGCTTCTGGTGAGCTCTCAGACAGAAATGAGGAACATGTTATGGGACACTGGAGGAAAGGCCATCCTTGTCATAAAGTGGCAAAGAACTTGGCCAAGTTGTTTTCTACTGTTTTGTGGAAGGTAGAACTTGTAAATGCTGAACTTGGAGACTGAGCTGAGGAGATTTCCAAGCAAAGTGTTGAGGGTTTCTCCTTGTTGCTCAAAGTAACATGTAAGGGAAGAGAGATAAATTGAGGATGTAACTATTAAGTATGAAGGAACCAGAATGTGAAGATCTAGAAGATTCTCAGGCTAATCATATTGCAAAATATGAGAAAGCAGGCTTGGGAGAGAACACCAAGGGTGTGGCTGGACAACTGTTCATGAAGAGCTGGGCCACGTGACCTGTGGACCCACTCAAGCATGTCAGCGGAAGCTAGGAATGGAGAGATGAGGTTATCCAGGAAAGATCTGGAGGACTCTCTTGTCTTACAGCTTAGACCCTCATGAATTGCACAGGAGATCAACAAAGTTTTTGAGAATTTTATACCAGTAGAAACACTGCCAGCCTGGACTGAAAGGGACAGAGAAAGGACAGAAGGGAGGAAGGATGATTCCAAGGGCAGAGCAATGGCTGCAGAGGCCAGAGTTGGCTCAGGCCCAGAGGGAGGGTAGGATCGTCCCCTACGTTCCAGATCCCCCCTACCCCCACCAAAGACCCAGGGATTCTTCTTATGCTTTGAAATCGAATGGATTTGCCCTGCTGGGTTTGGGACTTGCTTGAGACTGATGACCCCTTTATACCTTCCAATTTCTCCCTTTTGGAATGGGAATGTCTATCCTATGCCTGTCCCCCTAGTGTATTCTGGAAGCAGGTAACTTGTTTTCTAGGCTCACAGCATGCAAGCAGCTCCAGTGGGCTGTGACAGCTAGTTTGGGGAGGGATGAATGGAGAAGAGAAACCCTGGAGGGCTGGGGACAGGCACGAGTGTCACAAAAGTGGTAAGAGGGGTGGGCACAGGGGAGGAGCAGGGAGGTGACAGGAGCCTTACCTGCAGTCACTGAGTTCTCTGGGCCTGTGGGTACAGAGAGTTGTTTCTGTTAGTGTGGACTTTTCCTAGGGCCTGTAGCAGGGAAGCCTGCTCCTATACTGTGAAGTCAAGGTGGAGGGGCAGTCAGGTTCAGGGGCCAAGGGCTAAGCCAGGCTGACCTTGGCACGTACGTTCCCGCTCAAGTCTAAATGATGTTCAGATGCAAAGCTCTCTGCTCCAGGAAAAGGGTAGATCGGAATTGCAAAAAGTACTTAGGTGATGTGTCACCAGTAACGAGGTGTCGAGTCCCCTCCCCATCTCAGAACCCAGCGGAAAGCCTGCAGGGAACAACTTGGGAGTCATCCCCAGTGTTCAGCAAAAGCCCCCCTGCCCCTCACATGGGCCCCAGTGAACAAAGGATTCTAATTAGCGGGGATTGGCGTTTCCAGCCGAAGCAGCTGGGTGGTAGGGGGAAGGCTGTGCCGGATGCCAGGAGGCGGACCGAGGGCAGCTACAGGTGCCCTGCCAGGAAGAGACAGAAAACCCAGGCCACCGCCACCTCCACCCCGAGCCTCAGGCTGCAGGCCCAGGTGGCCGCGCCGGGGACCTCGTAGCGGGGCGAGGGAGAGTCCCACACTCACTGGCGAAGAGTTGCTGGATGCGAGGAAAGCCGCCGCCAGGCCCACCGAGGAGGATGCTGGCTACGAGCCAGGTGAGGCCCACGGAGATGACCAGGGCCATGATGCGGAGGGGACCTAGAGGCATGACAGACACGGGCAAGGCCTCCTCAGATGCCAGCGAGCTCCCGAACGACCCCAGGGCCTCTCATGATCGGATCTCCCCAGGCACTTGGGAAGAAGCGAGTGGAGACCAGGAAGGTGGGAGCTCCTGGCGGGTGAAGGAGAAAGCTGAGCTCCAACCCCAAGGCTCAGCTTGGCTCTCCCTGGAGGTGTGGAGGGGCCTCCTAACCTCCTGCTTCTGAGGCTACCAATGTCTTTGAGTCCCTGTCATCCTGCCCTCCTTTCTCCTGTGACGGTGACGGTGGAGGTTCCTACTCCTTTGGAAGGCCAGGCAGTCCTCCTGCTGTGAGCTGGGCGCCGAGCTCTCCACCCTGCTCGGCTTTCTTAACATAGCGGTCACTTTGTCTCCCTCTTTCCCCTCCATTTTTTTTTTTTTTTTTTTTTTTTGCGGTACGCGGGCCTCTCACTGTCGTGGCCTCTCCCGCTGCGGAGCACAGGCTCCGGACGCGCAGGCTCAGTGGCCATGGCTCACGGGCCCAGCCGCTCCGCGGCATGTGGGATCCTCCCAGACCGGGGCACGAACCCGCGTTCCCTGCATCGGCAGGCAGACTCTCAACCACTGCGCCACCAGGGAGGCCCTTTCCCCTCTACTTTCAACACCTCCAGTCCTCAGAAAACGCGGGAGGAAAGGCCTCCTTCGGAATCACATCCGCAGCCAGCGGCGGGGCTCTGTGCCCTCCCTTCCTCTCCCTGCCGGCTCCTCCAAAGTCCTGTGTGCTGGCTTCTTCCATAGACTTCCCTCCCCGTCTCGCAACCTGCTCCACTCTGCCCTTGCCTCCATTACCCCCGCAGGACGGCTTGCGGCGAAGGCCGCCTGGGACCTTGTTGATGCCAGCACCCCGGGTTACCTGTTGGCCCTAATGTCCCTTGACCCCTCAGGTGGCCGCACAGGCTGCGGCCCTCCTGCGGAAACCCTGCTCGGCTGGCTTCTGGGACGGCGCCCTTGAGCCCCACCTGGATGCTCCTCGTCCTTCTGGCTTAGATCGTCCTCCTTGACCCTCCCCTGAAAAGCTGGACTTTCCCCAGCTCCTGTCCCAGTGTCCTCTCTGCCTCTACCCTACTCTCCGTCTCCCCTCCTGCCTCGACTCTACCTAGAGGTGCCCTGCTCTGCTCCCAGCCTTGAACTAACCCTCACGAGCACTGACTGTATTTTACCACTCCAGCCCTGACCACTCTTGAGGCCCCACTCTCCCAGCCAGCTCCTCATGGGTCAGCTTCCCCGGGATACATGCATAATGCTTCAATTTTAGAAGGTATGAAGTCCACCCCCAACCTATCCATCCCCAAGCCCCCTTCATCTTAGCTGTCCAGGCGACAGTAGGGCTGGCACTGGGTTCACATCCAACCTCAGGGCCACTATGGTCAGCTTCTCATCTAAGACCACTGCCTCTCCCTGTCCACCCAGCCGCCGTGCTCCCTGGAGCTCTCTCCCACAACTTTTTCCAAACAGCGGCCAGTTATCCCATTTGGGAGAAATCTATTATAATCCTCATCTCACAGCTGAAAAGAGAGAGCTGGGAACTGAAGTCCTCAGAGGTGAAAGGATTTGCTCAAGGTCATAGAATGAGTGTTTGTGCAGAGTCCTCTGTTTCAAAAACCAAACCCAGGGACTTCCCTGGTGGCGCAGTGGTTAAGAATCCGCCTGCCAATGCAGGGGACACGGGCTTGAGCCCTGGTCCGGGAAGATCCCACATGCCGCGGAGCGACTAAGCCCGTGCACCACAGCTACTGAGCCTGTGCTCTAGAGCCTGCGAGCCACAACTACTGAGCCCACGTGCCACAACTCCTGAAGCCCGCGTGCCTAGAGCCCGTGCTCTGCAACAAGAGAAGCCACTGCAATGAGAAGCCCGTGCACCACAAGGAAGACCCAACGTAACCAAAAATAAATAAATAAAAAATAAATAAATGTATAAACCCTCCCCCCCCAGACCCAGTGGTGCCACCACCCCTGGCCCTTCCAGACAGACCTCTGGACACCTGGGCCTCCAGCCAAGTCTCCTTTCCAACTCTCTCCGGTTCACTGTGGAAGCCACCCACCTGCCAACCTCATGTCCACTTCTCCCGCTGGGGTGGGGCAGCCGTCAGGTGCAGCGTTTGTGGACCGTGCGCTCTGGGGGGCAACAAAGCAGAAGAGCAGGTTTGGGTGGGGGTCAGGGATGATGAGCCCGTGCTGGGTCCCAGCTGTGGGGCGGGCGCGGTCGGTGCACCGACTTGCTCGGCCAACTACATGGCCAGGCTCCTCGGGAAGGCGGAGAGAAGCCCGGCTGGGACCGGAGGGGCCTCGGGAACCTGGAGGCTCACGATCGTGCCCACGGGAGCCTCTGGGCCTGGGAAGTGGAAGTGGTTCTCCCGGACGCGGGAGTGGGAGGCCCCAGCTCAGGCCCCCCACACGGCCCCCCGGGCCTGGAGGTCGGCGACGCGGGCCGGGCCGGCCAGAGACTTGCCTGGCGGTGGGGGGATGCGAGCTCGGTCAGGGGCAGCCCCGTCAGGCCGGCCGCCCCACTCTGCTCGACGAGGCGAAGCGAGGAAGCTCCGCAGCGCGGAGCAAGAGGCCCGGCAATGGCGGCCCAGGGCGGTAGCACGGTCCGCAGGCGCCACCCCGCCATCGGTCGGGGCTGGGCGACCGGCCACCGGGTGGGAGGGGCCCGGGCCGGCCCCGCCCCGCCCCGCCCCGCCCCTGACGCACGCTCCGGCGGAGCCGCGGGGCCGGGCTGCCAGGCTGCCAAGGGGCGGGGCCCTACTCAGCCCCGCCCCCGAGGTCTCCTCTGAGGCTTCGTTCAGGAGGGAGAGCCCCGCGTTCCCAGGCTTTGAGGGCGGGGCTGTGGTCGTGCCCCGCGCTCGGATTTCTGAAGTTTAGGAAGGGGCGGATGGATCTGGGGGCGTAATTAGACATTGTTCAAAAGTTCAAATGTGTGCCTTTTCGAAACCCGGAGGGACAGAAGCGTGTACGGGAAACAGCAGAATGCGAAGAGCCAGGGGCCAGCAGGCTCAGCCTTCCGCGGCCTCCCTTTCGCCGTCTTCTTTCTAGAGGGCAGCGCGCTCACACGCTGTCACCCCTGCCTGCTCCTCCAGCCTCCTTCACAAAGGCGCCCCCGACACCGCCCAGGGCACCCCGATCACCTCCCGCGCTGGGAGAGCTGGGGCCACCTCTGTCGCCTGGACCCATCTTTCTGGACGGCAGCAGCCGGGCGGCGTGAGAACCACTGAAACATCCGTGCCCTTTGACCCAATGTCACCGCTTTCTGGAAACCTTCCTAAGGAAAGAACCCAGAATACAGAGAAAGGTGATAGAGCCAGGCAGTGACAGAGCTCTGGTTAGCATCCAGGAGCTTCTCCACTGGCATTCACAACACTCCCTCGTTCTCCCTAACAAGATCAAGGTGATAAGTTTCAGGCCCCTGTGCTGCTGTCACGGGTTGGTATTTGAGTTTTGTCATGGAATTTGGGACCAGAAATAGCACTGACCATTTGCCAAACTCTCACATATCTGTGAGTACCAAGCCCTGGGCACCGTGCCCTCCTTAGCGCTCTTCCCTGTAATGCTGGCAGTCGTGGTGCCCAGTAGACGAAGCTCCTGCCAGGCACAGGGCAGCGGCCAGACGGCTGGTTCTTAGAGGACAGTGTTTACACCTTGCTCAGAGCAGGCATTTTGGAAAGGCTGGTTTAATGAGCCCCCCTGAGGGCCCAGAGGCACATTCACCAACCCCAGGGGCACCACCCTCGAGAGGGCCAGAGGCCTGGGACTCATCCCAAGCCTTCTGTGCCTCAAGGGGCAGCTTTGTTTCTCCAAGGAATGTTTTTCAATGGGGACTTGGAGAGCATGAGACCCTCTTGTCATAGACCCTCATGGCCCGGCCCCAGTGCGGGCACCCAGCAGGAGATGGCAGAGAATGTAGTTCCCACAGCTGCGGCACCAGTTCACTGTGTTTCCTCGGCTCCTTGTGTCCCTGCCTGAGTGTAGGCACCCAGAGCCCGCGTGCTCAGCTGATCCCTCGTTCCCCTCTCAGTGTAGACACCGAGCACGGAGTTGTCACTTGACAGTGCTCACGTGGGCCTGCATGCTGATGCCCCCGTGCCGGCACCTCCCGCCTCTACCCCCGAGTAGGCACCCAGAGCTGAGGTGATGGGCGACTGTCTTATTGCAGGACCTCTTGCCTCTACCCTAGATTAGGCAATCGGATCTCCGGTGACAGTTGAATGCCCTCACCTGAGGCCACCTATGCCACAGTGTAGGAATCCAGAGCTGAGATGACAGTTAAATGACCTCCATGGTCCCTCGCTCTCCGTTCCAGTGTAGCTACCAAGATTTGTGCCTGTAGTCAACTCACCTCACCTGGGCCCTCAGGTCTCTGTGGTGTGGAGCTGTACGGAGGTGAAGTGGCATTTGAGTGCCCCCTGCTGGGCCTCATGTCTCTGCCCCAGGGTGGCTGCCATCGCTGAAGGGCTACCTGTGTGCCCTTGCCTGCCCCTCATGCCTTTACCTGAGGTTGGGCCTCTAAGCCTCGCCCTGGTCCAGGTATCCCACAGTTAAATGTGAGTTGAACGTTGAAACCTGGGCCCAACGCCTCTCACTCAGTGTAGGCGCCCAGAGCTAAGGGGACTGTTGGCTGTCCTCGCCTGGGCCCTCCTGCTGTGTCCCACTGCAGAGATTCAGTGCCAGTTGAAAGCCCTCAGCGCCAATGTTGCCACCCAGAGCTTAGGTGACAGGTGTCTTTCCTCACTAGTCCGTTGTGTCTGTTCCCCATCCTAGGGCCCCAGAGCTGTGACATTTGTCTCAATTCAGCGAGGCTCTAAGGACTATGTCAGAGATGAGGTGACCAGTGACTGTCCTCACGGGGTCCCTCATGCTTGTGGCTCCAGAATGGAGGTGACAGCTGAACGTCCTTACCCGGGACCTCATGCTTCTTCCTCACTTCAGGCTCCTAGAGCTGAGATCACAGCTACTGTCCCTCTCAGGTCTCTCATCTCTGTCACTCACAGGCACCCGGTGTCAGGTGATAGCGGAGCACCCTCACCAGAGCCCTCTCATCACTGCCACAGGGTAGCACCCAGATCGGAGGTGTCCATTGATTGCCCTGACCTGGGCCCTCTGTCATGGTGGGGACACTCAGACAGATGGGGAGGGTAGGGTCCCCACCCCTCCCTCCCTCCCTCCCTTCTCACAGGCGGTTATCACATTTTGGGGTCCCAGGAGGAGCTGGGTCCCTCCTCCACTTCAGGCTCCTGCCCCTACATGGATCTTCTGTGTTGCTAAGAGTCCCCCTCGGTGATGCCATGCCAGAAGGTTCCCCAAGGGGCCTGGGTCCTGGGAGGACTACCCCCAGCACACAGCTCTACTGGGTCCCCCAAAAGGCTGTAGGCGTCTGTGGGGCTCTGTGAGGGGGCTCTGAGCACCAAGACCCCAGCGGGGTCAGGAAGGGCCCCCTGCACCTCCGTTTATTTGGTTTTTATCCCGAAGGTTTGTGGTCATCCTCAGGCCCGGATTTTGAAGGTTTGTCCTTCCCCGGGAGCAGCACAGCGCCCCCTGGCGGCTAGCAGAAGGCCAGGCTGCGGCTCCGAGGACCCGCTCCACCGCATTCTGGGCCACCATCTCGGGGTCTGGCGCTCTCGTGCCATCCTGGGCCTTTTGCAAAGCCTCATTTGCCCCTCACGGGCACGTGGCTGCACCACAGAGAGTCAAGGGCAGGACCCTCTGTAGCCACGCCGGAGCCAAAGCGTTACAGGGGGGCGCGTGAGTCCCTAGGCCCACACCATCAGCTCCCGGTGAACCTGGGCGACTTACGGCCCCTTCTCCAGGCCACAGGCATCGGGAGGACCAAGGCCACTGCCCGTCCCCCCGCCCCCAGGCTGAAGCCTGGCCTGTAGTCCTATCCACGTGGGGCTTTCTCAGCTGCTCTGCATGGACCTGGGCCAGGAGGCACTGCAGGATCCGGATTCCAGCCGCGCCTGTCCCAGAAAGCCCCTCCCTTCCCCGTCCACCTAGGTCTACGTGAACTCTGTGGTCTCCCTCCTGCAGAAGCTGGATGGAAGCGGCACGTCCTCTGGTTACAGGAGGGGTCGGGGAGAGCGGGGATGGTTACAGGAGGGGTCGGGGAGAGCGGGGATGGTTACAGGAGGGGTCGGGGAGAGCGGGTGGTTACAGGAGGGGTCGGGGAGAGCGGGGATGGTTACAGGAGGGGTCGGGGAGAGCGGGGATGGTTACAGGAGGGGTCGGGGAGAGCGGGGATGGCACCTGAGGATGCAGCCGTGTGCAGGGTGTGACTCACCACCCTAGCTTGTGGGACAGGAGGCGGCCAGCCCCCACTTGAGTTCCTTCTCGTCTACTTACCGTTCCTGCAGAGTCCTGGGTGGGAGCCTCAGCTCTGCCCCCAGCCCCGGGGGCCGTGCGGGGGTTAAGGGGAGCTGGTTGTCAGCATCAGGCTGAGGAGAGGCCTCCGTGATGGGAGCGGGAGCGAAAAGCCCTGGACAGTTGCCTTCAACAGTGGGGGTGGGGACAGACAGGCCACAGGCCCAGCTGAAGGGAGGAGCCACTGGTCAGGTTCTTGCCAACGGCCTGAGGGCCTGGCCCCGCTGCCACAGAGCGTCCCCGCAGGAGCCCTGAGCCCTGCCAGCTGTGAGGCCCTGAGGCATGGAGTCTGCCTGCCTGGGGCACGGATCGGGCTGCTGGCTCCTTCCGTACCAGCATCTGAGTCTTTTGTCTGTTCGTTTGGTTTGGGTCAGCCTGCTGCTCTCCCCGGAGCTCAGTGAAGAGCTGAGCTGGCGGCAGGGGCAGGACAGACGCCCAGGGAGTGTGCTCTTATTCAGAAGTGGGGTGTGTGCAGACGTAATCAGGTCAAGGTGAGGTCATCCTGGAGGAGACTGGGCCCCAAATCTAATATGACTGGTGTTCTTGTAAAGGGAAAACAGAGCGAGACAGACACACGGAGGAGAATGTCATATGAAGACAGAGAGAGACCGGAGTGACGGGTCTACGTGGCCAGCTGAGCCCCTGGAGGGCGCTGGTCCTAGAGCTCAGCCTTCCGGCCTCCGGCACTGGGAGAGGATACCTTTCTGTTGCCTTAAGCTTCCCTGCGTGTGGCGCTTTGTTAACAGGGGCCCCAGGAAACACAGGCAAGGGAGGCTGGTGGGGCCAGCTGTGCACCTCTCCACGGTGCCCAGGGTGCGCCCTGGACTTGCTCCTCCCCCTTGGCATCTGTTCCCAAATCCCTTAGCCACTCCTTCCTAAATACTTGTCGCCTCAGTGGGCCGGCAGTGCCCCTGAGTGCCCTGGCTGGGGCAGGGGCACTGCCTGCGGAGGGAAGGGGAAATGAACGTGACTTGTTCTTGTGCCCAAGGTGGTCTCATGACGAAGTTCTAGGGTGCGGGGCAGAGAGGAGGGGAAGGCCGGGCTTGGTCAGGACTGAAGGATACCCACGTTCCCGCCCGAGCTAGCGGTGGAGGGAAGTGGGTGGCAGGGAGAGGCGAGGGCTGGGGCCCATGGTCGCAGGTGGCAGGAAAGAAACAACCAGGGGACAGGCAGGCCTGTCTGCGGATTTAATGGCAGGGGACTGAGCCGGGGCATCCCACCTGCCGCTTCTGCTTTTCTGGTGGCGAGAGCACCACCTGAGGGCGGGGTGAGATGGGGCGGCCGTGGAGTGCTGAGTTAGGGTGGCCACGGGAGCTGTGGGGGACAGAAGGCCACTCGGGAGGCCCGACACAGGTGCGCTGCTGGGCCCTTCCAGCACAGAGGTCCCTTCCAGTGGGGAGCCAGGAATGTCAAGTGGCGCTGAGACTGGGCCGCGCCTGCCCCCTTCCCCTGCGCTCCGAGGACCTTGCCCCCCTGCTGCCCACAACTGCAGCCCTCCTTCTCCTTCCTCCAGGAGGGCTCAGTCTGGGGGACAGAGGCTGGCTCGGGTGGGGATGGTCACAGTGCTGGGTGGCAGAGGAATGAGACTGGGCCCAGGGGCGGGTGGCGTGGCCCGAGCCCGGGCAGGAATGTGAGGCTAAGGGCTGTGGTCCCGAGTCCTCCAGAGGCGGGTCCTCCCGAGGTAGGTCAGGCGGGGGCGGGGAGGGGTGGTGGCGGCGGGGAGCACGGAGAGGCGGGGCAGGGGTGGGCCCGGCGCAGGGTCAGAGCTTGTGCGGGTTCACCCACTTGTAGGTGCCCTCGTACTGGAAGCCCACCCTCTTCATCAGCTCGTCTGCTTCCACAGGGCCACGGCTGGGCGGGGGACAGGTCGGGGAGAGGTGAGGGGACCCTGAGCCCCAGAGTCCCCCTCCCCATCACCCCCATCACCTCCCCCGCCCGCCGCACCTGCCGTAGACGTAGGGGATGGGCTGGGCCTTCTCGAGTTCGATCTGGTGCAGCAGAGGAGTGAAGATCCGCCAGGCCTCCCGCAGCTCGTCACTGAGGGGACAGGGGCCGGCGATGGGGTGGGTGGCGGCCCAGAGGGAAGGAGGTGGGGAAGGAGGGGGGAGGGGCCAACCCTCACCTGCGCACGAAGTGCATCTGGCTCCCACAGAAGACGTCCAGGATGAGGCGCTCGTAGGCGTCGGGGAGCTTCACGTTCTGCCAACGGACAGGCGGGAGGGAGTCACCGAGGCACGCGCCCCTTGGAGCCCTGGACGCCACCCCCTCCCCACAGGCGGGCACCCACCTTGTATCTGTTGCCGTAGGTCAGGTCCAGCTCCGACTCCTCAGGGTTGAAGAACATGCCAGGCTTCTTGGTCATCATTTTGGTGTACACGGCCTCATTGGGCTGCACGCGGATCACCAGCTCATTGCGCTTGCACTGCTGTCGGAAGATGTCCCCGGCCACGTCGCAGAACTGCAGGCGCACCTCGGCCTTGCGCTCGTTCAGGGCTTTGCCGCAGCGCAGGATGAAGGGCACCCCTGGGGGGACAAGGCCAGCCTTGGGGGGCCGTTTGGGTGGATGAGGGGGCCAGGTCCCACCACCGCGGGCCCAGCGGCATCACCTACCATCCCACCGCTCGTTCTCCACGTAGAGGACGACGGCCGCAAAGGTGGCTGTGGTGGACCCCTGGGGCACTGTGGGGTCATCCAGGTACCCTTTGGTGGCCTCTCCCTCTCCGTTGGGGTTCCCCACATACTGGCCCAGGACCACGTTGCTCGCCTGCACCTCTGAGATACATTTCAACACCTTGACCTGGAGAAGAGCCAGGGAGAGGGGCCCCTTGGGTAACAAGGACAGCAGGTGCCAGGAACCACGTGACTCCGAGGGGTGGCCTTCCTGGACGGGTGAGTGGCCCAGATAGTCAGGAGGCTCCGTCATGCAAGGGCCCTCTGGGGCCACCTCAGCCCGCCCTCACTGTTGCTGAAGGAGAAGCTGAGGCCTAGAAGGTCAGTTCTGGGACAGGACACCTCGGGCTCGCGGCTGGCTGCGGCAGAGGGGAGGGGCCTGGCGGGCACAGCCCCACCCACCTTCTCATCGCGGACGTCATCCGAGTGGGTGGAGGCGGGCTTCTCCATGGCCACCAGACATAGCATCTGCAGGAGGTGGTTCTGCATCACATCCCTGGTGGGGGGGGCGGACAGTGAGCTAAGGCCCCTCCCTGCTGGCCAGGTTCTGGGGGCTCAGGGCCTTAAACTGGGCTTGTTTCCCGAGCCCCCGTGTCTGCCAGGTCCCCTTAAGGCAAAGGAGAAGACCGTGACCACTCCTGACTGCTCAGACACTCCTGCTGCCAAAACAGGAAGAGGCAACCCTGCAGGGGGGCGGGATGCCCGCCCCCCCATCTCCCAGGAAGGGGAACCAGGCTCTCACCGGATGATCCCAAATTCATCGAAGTAGCCCCCACGACCCTCAGTGCCAAAGGGCTCTTTGAAGGTGAGAATGACGCAGGCGATGTTGTCCCGGTTCCAGATGGGGCCGAAGATCCTGTTGGCAAACCTGCAGGAGGGGCAGGGTGAAGGCTGGTGGGCGTCCGAGGGGGCAGCAGCAGGGCCCCCCAGCGCCCAGTCCTGGCCCCGGTCGCACCTCAGCACCATAAGGTTCTGGACCATCTCCTTGCCCAGGTAGTGGTCGATGCGGTAGATCTGGTCCTCGCGGAACAGGGAGGCGATGTGGTTGGACAGCCGGTTGGAGCTCTCTAGGTCCCT